TCCTGGGCAAACAACCCCTTCCAGTGTGGGTGACTAAACTAGAGGATCTAGTATACAGTGAACTGTGGCTCGACAACGCATACCAGGCGCTACAGTGGTACGCGACTCAGCTTGTTCCAGAGATAGCTGAGTATGAATTCCCTGAGTGTGGGGATTACAATGGCCCTGATCTATTCTGGGAGAATATGGACGATGATGACTTTGGAAGGGCTACAGACTCACGCTTCTGGGACCTGTATGATGACCGGGAAGACAAGCTGGGACTCCCTAGAGCTATTGGCCTGGAAGCAGACCTGCGGTATCTAGTCACCCAGGAATGTGACCTGGAGTGGAAGTACCAGCACATCATCCAGGGGTCCCGGGAAGAGACAACCCGTCCCCTTCCTCAACAGCATCCAGAGGTCCCCCTAGAGAGCACAGCAGCAGAGCCAGATCGAGAGTCCTTCCAACTTCCAGCCAGCCTGGAGGCAACCGTAACACTAAACACCCCGGGTAAAAGGAGGCTACTACTGAATGACCTCACTGTGACGAATTGCCCTTCGCCACTTGTGCCTGGAGAGGACTGCTTGCCCGCCTCTTGCCCTGTGACTATGGCCCCTGGGATGTATTGCCCTTTAAAGACATGATTTGGGCATAATGGATTTGTGTTGTGCTGCTTTAAGAACCATCTGGGGACATACTGTGGAGTTACTGGGTGGCCACCATTTCCTGTATCAGAAGCACATGGTGAGAACAATGGATGGCGGCCATTTTAACTCACAGACACTGTTTGGACTTTTCAACACGGTGCCATCTCGCCAGTATTTGGTGCACAGAGACATCGTGCAGTGGTTTTGGACTATACAGCAGGGGACACATTATACAGTGATTGTTTTTCATTTAGCCTGTATATGTTCTGCAGAATCTGCATTAAACTGTATTTTCCAAAGTACTGAACGGATCTGGGTGAATTTTGGATATGTGGTTCAACCAGATCCCCGGTTCCAAGGATATATTTTTATGGGGTTATTGCATGTTTTGGGGTCCCTGTGTGTTTTATGAAACTGTATTATTTCTGGCCAGCAGATAATTGAGCTTTGTGTATTGTAGAAACTCAATTATCTAGCCTGGCCCAGAGGAGGAGTTTTGTGTTGCATAAATTGTGAGTTCTGTGTGCCAGTAAATCAGTCTTGTTCCAGCATTAAGCCTTGGCTCATGTTTGGGGGATTGGAGAAATACACTCTGGGGATTGCTATAATCACTATACTCCCCAGGGTATGATCACTAAGTTCTGCTAAGAGCTTGTTCCTGTTCCTGTTCCTGTTCCTGCTCTCTGGGGAAAGAGAGGTTCACCCACTGGAAGCTGGATCCTGGCCTTGGGTCCAGGGTGGGTGGAGACAGCAGAGACCCCAGCGCAGTTGCATCGCTGGAAGTGGGGTCTGCAGTGCTGATGGTGTCGGTTGGAGTGCTTGAGTCCTCGGCAAGCGCTAGGAGCATCGATTGGCGGAGGTACTCAGTCGGAGTGCCAGCGTTCCGTCACATTTGGTGGCAGCGGTGGGATGGCGTCCTAGTGCGAGGACCAGCAGCTCAGAGACACCGGTAATGTGTGGAGTTACGGATTTATAATTGAGGGCAACGCTAGCCTCTGCGCAGCGTCCCTACCTACAGCAACATGGAGCTAGCAAGACCCTGGACAGCAGCCAGTGAATTGCAAATCCGCCTGTCACAGTGCTATGAGGGTGCTGATTTCATGAAGGAAGTAAAGGCGCGGCTGGTCTGGTTTGGCCCAAACCCTTCAGATGAGGTGGTCCATCAAGTGATGCGCCTGTTGAGTGCTGAGAACCAAGACGCACGGAACTACGAGTACCAACTGTGGAGTTTGGGGGTATTGACACCCCGCCTCCAGCGACAGAGTGAGTTACAGGGAGAGGAGAGCAGCGACCTCCCTTCCCAGCGGCAGTGCACCGTACAGAGGGAAGAGACAACCGGTCTCTCTCCCCAGCGGCGGCCTGAGTTCCAGGAGGAGGTGCTGGTAGATCCCTCCCCCGTACAGCAACCAGAATCCTGGAGAGGGGAGGCAACCGGCCTCCCTCTCCAACAGCAGCCGGAGGTGGGCGACCTCATAGACTTGTCCTGGGGACACAGAGAGATGGCAAGCGGAGATGGGACCGAAGTCTCTCTGCCAGCCCTACAGGGATGCTGGGCAGTCAGCCCAGGTCCCCAGTGGCAGTATAATATACAGGGAGAGGAGACAACTGGTTCCAGGAGGAGGTGATGGTCGATCCCTCCACCTTACAGCAACCAGCGTCCTGGGGAGTGGGGGCAACCAGCAGGGCCGGACTGGCCCACCGGGATACCGGGAAATTTCCGTGGGTCATACTGGGGCCGGGCCGCTGCTCCTGGGTCGGGCAAGGTTCTTTAGATAGAATGTCGCCCGAAATAGCCTGTTAAGAGCGCTTGGGCGGCTGCAGCTTCTCCCCTGTAGCGTGGCCGAGCTGCACTCTGGTCCGCGGTGGCCGGCCGGAGTGATAGGAATGTGCACACTGAGTGTGCACTTCCTGTCAGTCCGGCCGGTTACAGGAAACAGAAACTACTGTTCCGCGCGGAGTTTCTGTTTCCTGTAACCGGCCAGACTGATAGGAAGTGCACACTCAGTGTGCACCTTCCTATCACTCCGGCCGGCCACCGCGGACCGGAGTGCAGCTCGGCCACGCTACAGGGGAGGGGGTAAGAAGAGAGGGGGAAGGGGGGGGAGGGGGTAAGAAGAGGGGAGGGAGGGGAATAAGAAGAGGGGAGGGAGGGGAATAAGAAGAGGGGAGGGAGGGAATAAGAAGGGGGGATAAGAAGAGGGGGGGAATAAAAAGAGGGAAGGGGGGAATAAAAAGAGGGGAATAAGAAGAGGGAAGGGGGGAATAAAAAGAGGGAAGGGGGGGAATAAAAAAGGGAAGGGGGAATAAAAAGAGGGGAGGAGGGGAATAAAAAGAGGGGAGGGGGGTAAGAAGAAGAAGGGGTTAGTAAGAAAAAGATGGAGTAAGAAGAGGAGGGAGTAAGAAAAAGAGGGGGAATAAGAAAAGGGGGAGGGGGGAGTAAGAAGGAGGGGAGATAAGAAAAAGAGGAGGGCAAGAAGAGGGGAGGGGAATA